TCTGTCTAGCCGTCGAAAGCCTATAGAAATTTGATGAACTGTATTAAGGAGACGAGTTCTTAAAGTAGTATAGGGTGATCCAATTTAAATTTCCGAACTTTAAAATGAAATAAATGAAAATTTCAAAAAATATATATTTTAACTTTAGCAATAGAAAATGTCAAGTATTTCATTAAGTATGAAAAATAATATCATTTAAATTGCCGCCCCTAGACCTTCTGCAACAATCGATCCTTTTTAATGTTCGATGATTTTTTTTTAAACACCTCGGGCGGTATGTGGGCATTAACTTGGCGGATATTGTTTTTCAGATGTTCTAACGTTTTGGGTTGATTGGCAAAAATGTGTTCCTACAAACTGACTTTTGACTTTCGAAAACAAATGCTTATTACCAACTATCTGATTTATAGTAGTGCCAATATAGGAAACTAAAATTGGATCACCCTTTAGCTGGTACAGCATGTTTTCTAAACGTTTCCTAGTTCCTGCTAGAATGAAGTCACTTTCTATGAAATGTGCTCTAAAAACGGCATTTATAGCAGTCAGCGTTTCAGTCTTAGGATCTCTTCCTAAAGCCCTCATCCAAGCTGCATACCTATTAAAAAATAATTTAAAAAAACATATTATATAACTATATAGTTTTCGGTTCTGGGTGCCCACAATTTGGGTCAGATAGCTAAAACCCAACAGTCATACCCCGAACCAGGACGTATTGCTTCTTCTTTTAAGTAAAAAATAACTAGTCATCCTTACCTGAAAAAATGAATGCGTCTGACTTTTACACCAAAAAAACCATACACTTTTTCTCATTGTTGCAAGAACCCGATGGCAGAAGCAGATATTTAATGGTTATGAAACTTATTTTAACACAAAAAGAACAAAGCACTAATCGAAAATCAGCAATCAAATATAAATAGACCATACAATTAAAATTGAAATTAAAAACTATAACTGTAAAAAACAGATACTCTAAAAGCACAAAAGATCAGAACCAAACAAAACGAATAACCGTAATAACCTTAAAATCACACTCAAAATTGCAAAAACTAGTACTGTAAAATCACGATCTTACATCAATAATGCGCATAGAAAAAGAAAAAGGTAATAAAATAATAAAATTTGGAGCTATAGGTCTAATTTAATTGAACGTAAAAAATTAACCAATAAGTCAAAGATGTCTTTATTGCCATTGCTTAATAAGAGTGTTAAATTAATGGGAATAGGGCATTTTTTATTTCTTATAGCTTCTAGTAATTCGGTACTTTTTTGGTGGTGATTTTTACATGAAAAAAAGATGTGATTTAAATCAGCAGTAGAATTATTGTCGCAAGAACAAACGTCAGTATTTAAGATACCTATTTTATGTAGGTGAGCTAGAAATTTGCCGTGATTTAACTTAAGGCGTGTGATAGTTACTGAATAAGCTCTGTTTACATTAAATTCGCTATGCGAGATTTTTTTAGGTAAGGTAGGATATATACAAGTATAATGTTTATTGGACCTATCTACGAATTTTTTCCAGTCTGATTCCCACATTTTATGGGCCTGATTTTTCCAACATTTATCGAATCCATATAATCTATTAAATGATTAGGAGTGGTTGAGAGAGCTGTAGCTTCCTTTGCTAAGAGATCAACAGTGTTGTTACCGGAAATCCCTGCGTGGCCTTTCACCCATACGAAATGAACAATACATCTTGTATTATGCAAGTCCTGAAGTAATTTTTTGACGTTACAAATAGTGTTTGACGTTCAAAAAGTACCGTGTTTTCCTGAGAATTTAGCTATATTCTTAGCAGTATTAGAGGACCATTTCTACCACGCATACCCAACAATATTGGAGTTCCACAGTTCACTGTCTTTTCCTCACACCTCCAGTATAAATGATTTGACATAACGAAACTAACAATAATTATAATTAATGTAGAGTAGGCTTGTGTCAAAACAGTAAAAAAATTTTAAAACTAAAGAGTAATAAGTGTTTCGTGAATTCTAAATAAAATAATCATTATTAGGGATGTTGCGATACTACTGATACTTTTCTTTCGATACCGGGTAATTTAGTACCCGATACTTTGCTTTCGATACTTTACTCATATGGGTACTACTTTTGTACTTTCGTTTCAATAATTTTACTACAAAATGTATATTGTAGGATCACTTTATGGCATGATATGTCGGCGTGTACCCTATGACCTTTTTTTTTTTTGTTGTTCTGTACTCTTTCCGACATAGGTATCGATACTTTCGTTCCGATATCCTTTCGATACCGGTATCGATACTTTGGTTCCGATACTCCTTTCGATACCAGTATCGATACTTTACTGGTATCGCAACATCCCTAATCATTATATAAAAATGTAATTTATCTCCCTATTTTCTTTTGTAATTTCTTCAATTATTATGTTTTATTTCTATAAATAAACCAACTGGTGAGGTAAAACATTGTGATATATGATTTTTTTTATACAAAACAACTGGATCATTCTTTAAATAGTTGAGGTCGTAGGAAAATTTGTGTGCATAACTCGTTGGAAAGTGTATTTTATGCACAAATATATTATTCATACTTACACATTAATTAGACTATTTGTTTACTTAACTTCAGTATACCTTTTACTACTAGAACTATTTTTATCACTGGAAAAAAGGGGCCGTGTTTTCGTATGTTCTGATGCATTTGTGGCCTCAACCCTCTAAATATATATAAATTTTGCTTAGAATTGCTAACCTCACAATTCTCTATCCGTGTTTGCTGACTGGGAAAATAAATACCTAAAATCGTCACATCTCCTTGACTTATACAGTTAGTAGATGATGATGAGGCGCGGTCAGAAAGATAATCGGTCCTCTCACTCCGATTTAGAGATGGCGTGATGACTTCACAACAAATACATTTATCAATGGCTAGTTGGATATGTGGAAATTTATAACACCACTTGGCGTGCCACTTATTAAATATTTAATGCTGTTGCATTTCTTGTATTCTGACTATAATTGACTTTGGTGAACAGGGTTAGATGGTTTTTGAATTTCTATAACAAAGCAATCTATAATGAATTGAATATTACTATATTTATATACAAATGGACTAGGCAATAATAGTTTTATTTGTTGATGGGTTGAAAAAAAAATTAAATTTTGTAGCACATTGGCAATTTTTGGTACACCAGACCAAAATCTAGAACTAATCTAACGTATACATCATTTAAATAAAATTTGGTAAACCTAAATTAAATTTTTAGTTTTTTTTTTTAAATATAATTTTATAAATAACTCCAAACGAATAAAGCTAGAATATTGGCAACGCTGTATAAAGTAAAAAGGTTAAGAAGAGGCACGACTTTCAAAATACATTAATTACTTATTGCCGATTTTTGTGAATTAGTGAATTTTGTAAAAAAAAAATGAAAATTAACATAAACGAGTAGGTCCCTTGAGATAATGTATCTTAATATAAAACCAGGAAATTCGTTCATATTGGATGAGTCCACAGATAATTTAAAAAAAAACTAGTTTAAACTTAAATTGCTTACTACTTTTGAAAATGATAAACTAATGTCTTACTAAATAATAATTTTTAGATTTTAATAATTTATTTACATTGATATTAACGTATATATCTGTCGCATTTTACTATGCTTTAGATTAATACTATTTCACTAATTCAAGTAATTTTACACGACAGGTCCCAATATACTTCCTTGTTGTACTTCTTTGATTTTTTAGGTATACATATTTAAAATAAAAAAATACAGTACTGTATAGTCGGATTACAATAAGAACAACACAATTCGTTGGCAATCGCCACCTACTGGAGATTTAGTGGCATATTAAGAAGGGACTTGCTTTTAAATATTATTCCTAAATATACAGGATGGTCAAAATCTATACTTTTCTAATGCAAAACACCCTGCAAGTAGTTATACATATTTGATTGTTTTCACGTCGTCAAATAATTTTAATTGACTTCATTAATTTGCTGTGTTATATATAGGGTGTGTCAAAACGCGAGGTTACGATTTTTTAAATTATTTCAATGTACTACCCTGTATTAATTAATTGGTGGTGTAACATACTGGAGAAAATCGTAACCTCACATTTTGACACACCCTATATACAACATAGCAAATGAATTAAATTGAAATTATTGTTTGACGATGTGAAAACAATCAAATATGTATAACTATCAGTGTTCTTCTTATTGTAATTGTATTGTACCAAACTTTCGTTGACAAAAGTAAAAACTTACGTTGGTCTATCTCTACCTCAATGCTCTTTGGCTTTTATTGCAAAGATTATTCATATTGTAGTCGAGTGCAGAAAGCTTTCGCCGGGGAATTGTGCCAATGCGGAATGTAAAACTACCAAACAAAATGATAAAATTATCTGTGTTACCTTACCCATAAGTTTCTGGTTCATAACTCAAGTGTGTCACGTTTTATTTTTTCTTTGGCTCTACGTTCGCCAACAACAGCTAAGAAAGTATTTTGTTCAAAGTGGGAGTTGTAACTTCACAGCTCCGTTTTTATTGGTCTCTCAACGCAGGACCGTCTTCGGGCTGATTCGCTTAGGCCTCTGAGATATTATCGAACTATAGTACGAACTACAAATGATTAAATCCTGATATTATGGACCTTTTTTAAACTTTCGTTTGTTCACGTTTGTTTAATAAACATTTTCGTTTATTAGGCCTTCAAAATAAAGTTTTTTACCAAATTTGACATTCGGTATCGTCATAGATACTTTTTAATAATTTTAAAGTGTGTAGTATTCGATTGTCTATAATTTGTCAACGTTTGTCTAAGCAAAAATGTATTTTGTCCACCCATGGTCTTCTTGGGTTGTAAATGTTTGATTTAAAATAAAACTAGAATCTATTAATAATGAAGTTGCAAACTATTTTTTATAATAACACAACTACAATCTAACGAACTTTGATGATGTTTTTAGATTAGTTTTAATTGATTATTTATATAGTTTTTTTTTATATTGTTTCAGGTTGAATGGTCAGGAAAAAAGGAGCATGTGAATTAGTAGGGGCCTAAGGGCCCCCGGGGGGCCCGCGGCAAACTCACGACATAAGACTGTTCCGATCGAAATGAATGCTGCACTTGCAGTCGTCAGACTTCGTTTGCTGTTCATTGCCCATCTCATTTACTTGTTTCATTTTTGTCTAGGTAAGCAAAACCGCATGCATTACAGAATTTTAAAAAAAAATATTTTTTTTATTACACAGAATGGTATAATAACTAAATCGCATATTAGTAGTATCTTTATACTAACTCCAGAATAATTAGTTACATTTTTTATGTTCTTATCTAAATTATTTCGAGTATAAGTATTATTTCATTTCTATTATAAGTATTTAAATGTCTAAAATATATTAAAAAAAAAAAACTATAAATACTCTTTGGATTTTTTCTTTTCTGATGCCATATGCAAAACGAATGCAACTGTTCTAATTTTTTTACGGATGTCCGTAGATTGCTGTACAACAAAATATCTTTAAATAAATAAGAAATTCACAGAACACTCTCAAAATACTAAAATAACTTTGATTTAGTTTTTTTATATGAAAGATGAGTGTTCTAATTCAACAACATCTATTCAGCCGTTTGAAGATCATCAGCTTTTTTCTAGTTGATGAGGGGATGAAAGAAAAGAAAAAATTAGTACATCGGTCAGGGATCAAACCTGCGATCGAATCCTATTTATTACTTCTCCCATTTGACGTAAGAGTTTCCTGTAATTTTATTTTTGGTAATGCCATGCCACAGTTTGGCATTACATGTAGGTGTTGATGATGGGTAAAAATGGGAACATAATTAAAGATAAATTGCTATTTTAATAGTATATTACGTTATGACTATGAAGACTAGAGATAAGGAGGCGAATAGGCATACTCAAAATACAGTCTTAAAAAATGCATGCTACTCAAGCTTCTATAATTAACCGCATGGGCGCTGGTACTGCATACGGTGTTCAAAATACATGACTTCTTTTGGGAATTATACATAATTTTGTCAAAATAATAAAAATAAACTTGTTTATAGCTAAATAAAGCAAAGAACATACTGCTGTATTTATTTCCAAATAAGTCTTGCATGTTTTAATTGATAAATTATTTAATTTTATATATATAAAATACAAATTAGGTATATATGACCAAATTCGAAAAGGTTTCTTAAATGCTGAAATTTGATAAGTACAGTTTTGTGGAAAATTTTTTTTTGGATTGAACCAATATATAATTTTAAGAGTAATATAAAACACAGTTAACAGATTGTTGTAATAGAAGTATAAAAGGAGATTTGGGAATGTATATGGTATTACCTCATCCTTTAATTTCAGCTTTTCCCTTTTTATTTTGCTAACAGTACCATCAGTAAAAATAGTCTAATAATATTTGATAATATCTTCTAAAAAGTATAGAACAGCATCATCTCTAGAAAGTGCTTTATCGTTACTAGGAACGATATACATGCTGCCACTGTTCTAAACGTTTAGTATCCTATAAAAAAACATTTACAATGACATAATTGGGCTAAAGAAAAATAACAGTAGTAACCCTTTATCTAACATTAAAACTCTATAAAAAAATTAATTTTCTTTTCTAATAAGTTAAATTTAATGAATAATTATTGTTGTTTGTAAGTCAGCATCTTACAGAAACTTGTAATAAAATAAACTATACTTTGTAAGATACATATTGTGACTAGTTTACAATAAATATTATATTTAGACATGAATACATTATTTTACTTACATTAGAAGCTTTAAAAAGACATTGAATTGATTTCTTCTTGTGTTTTCTTTAGTTTTACATTTGATTTTTTCCTGTTTTACAATCTGGAACGAAGTAAATCTTGCTTTGATGTTTTTTTTCACTCATATTACTTGTACTCAGGTACTTTTTTTCTCATTATTTTGATTCTTTTCATCAATTTTTTAAAAAATCACTTCATTTTACATTGACTTACATAGAAAATTGACACCGATGTCATTCGATATGCCAACTACAGTCAATTTCGCGAACTTTATAAAAAGAAGGACCGAAATATGAAATTTGACTATTGCCGAATCGCCTCATTCTCTCTAGTCTACATAGTTATGACTTTTTATAAAAATTAATTAATCATTTCTGACATTTTTACACTCTTCAGAGTGATTTTGTTTCTCAATATAAAACTATTAACAAATTAACATCATAAATAACTCTTATTTCTTACATTCTTCCCCATTTTCCAAGATTGGAAAATAAACGAGAATGGTGAATAATCAATTATCAATTCCATAACGAACTAGTAATTTTGAAAGTCTTCCGGATCTGGTATAAATTTCTTTAGGTTTTTCTTGCTTGGCATTTCTCATATGGTTTGATTTCCGCCTCTCTTTTATCTCTTCTTTCTTCTTTGTGTTGTGAATTTTCTGCCATTCTTCCTTCTAAATTTAAATGTTTTTCTAGAAAACGTGTTTTTAACCCTTGAGAATCTGTTTCACATATTTCGAGTGGAAATAACCTCTGAAATGGTCAAATCAGGTTCCCATTCATAGTTTTTACTTTAGCTACTCTAGGCACTTTATCTTTTCCTAGATATTCCTCAATTATTATTCCTAAAGGCCAATCTCCACGTTTTTTACTGTCATTTTCTATATAAACTACATCACCAATCGTTAGGGTACTTTGTTTTCTTTCACCAACAATGATTAGTTTAGCTAAGTATTCTCTTCTGAATCGTTGTCTAATGTTGTCTCGAACTTTATGTATATGTCTCACACGTTTAACTAAATATGTTCGATCAATAGCATCCAAATCAGGCACTTTACAGCTACTCCCTATGTCATTTAGGAAGGTAGAGAGGCATGTCATAGGTCGGGCATTGACAACGGCTTCTGTGTTACACAAAATTGTCTTCATATCTCTTCATAATTAAAGGAACCTCTTCCTAAATTTCTTCGAAGTATATCCTTAACTAGTCTGACCATAATCTCCCAATCATCTCCACCAACAGGCAGTAGGTGAATTGAAAATCCATTTGATTTGCTTTATATTTGTATATTCGATGATTTTAGTCCAGTCTATTTGATTAAAAAGATTACTTTCACCTACAAAATTGGAGCCGTTATCCGTATATATAGTTGAAACTTTGGATCTTTATGCTAAAAATCGTCTTAAAGCTATTATAAAACTATCAGTTGAAAGTGATTTTAATTCCAAATGTACCGCTCTATATACTGCACAGGTAAATAAAACAATCCAAACTTTGTCTCTTTCTTTTAGATATAAGGGTCCAGCCAAATATGATTGCTGTCCTTCAAAACCACCCTGTATTATATTTATTAGACTGGTCCAAAAAAATTTACTATTTTTTTTTTAAATATATCCAGAATGTCATTCAGGGTGACAAAAAAAATTTTGGTGAAAACTTGAGCCCTTAGTATTCATTTTAAGAGATCTATCATCGCTATTTTTGATTTTTAGTCATAATTTGATGTTTTACGTTAGAACCGTCAAAACATCAAAGTGAAAAAATTCCTTTTCACTTATATTTATATAAAATTAAATTCTCTACAAAAAATTTCAATTTTTTTCTTCGATTTTAATCGTGAATAACTTTTGAAGAATTAAAATTAGGCAAAAATTTTAAGAGACCTATTTTGTAGAACATTAAATTTCCTTTAAGAATCCGACGTGAGCTTTTTTAAATATTTATTGATTTATTAGTTACAAAATTTCAAAGTAAAAATCTGATGTGTCCAACACATGACTTTCCTATCTAGTTATTACAGGCTTTTTCCGTTTATTGTGTACAACCTATTGCAGCATCTCTATAAATGTTTAGAGGATAAACTAAATATATACATTGTCCACATACATCTACCGCGAAACATTTTTCTATAGATATTCATTGAAAATGAAAATACTGAAAAATTTAAATTTAGCACTTTTCCTACAATTTTTCCATTACGGTCCATTTAAAAAAAATCATGTATGAACAAATATTATAGAGATCGATATCGATAACTTTTATTTCAACAATTTTCATAAAAATCAGAATTTTGCACATTTTGTCAAATTTCTCGAATACGGACCATTTCAGGAAATTTTTACATAAGGCAAAAATTATAGATAATAATATTAGAAGTAACTTTTATTTGAACAATTTTCTTCTCCAAACATAAATAACAGATATATTCCATAAAATATATAAACGGCCTCCCATAAAGTACCCCCCCAGATGTTCCGACTTTGTCCAAAATCTAATCATTTCACGTCAGGTCGAAATAAAACTTAAGTTTAAAATTTATTGATTTTTTCTTTATCCGTTTTTGAGTTTTCTTCAAATTTCGAAATTTACACATTTTCTCAAATATCTCGAATACGGTCCATTTTAGAGAAATTATCTATGGGACAAAAATTATAGAGAATTATATTACAAACAACTTTTATTTGAACAATTTTTATAAAAAATTATTTTTTTTACATTTTGTCAAATTTCTCGAATACGGACCATTTTAGGAAAATTTTGCATATAACAAAAATTATAGATAATTATATTAGAAGTAACTTTTATTTGAAGAATTTTCTTCTCCAAACGTAAATAACAGATATATTCTATAAAATATAAAAATGACCACCTATAAAGTACCCCCCCAGATGTTCCGACTCTGCCCAAAATCTTATCAGCTCATTGGACGCTGAAACAAAGCTTAAGTTTAAAATTTGGTGTTTTTCTGTGTATCGGTTCATGAGTTATGCGTTATACAGACACACACACACACACACACACAGACACACAGACACACAGACACACACACACACACACACACACACACACACACACACACACACACACACACACACACACACACACAGACACACAGACATCATCGCGAAAATAGTCAAAACGGATTCAGGGGACCTCAAAACGTAAAAATCCGTCGAAAACTCGAGGTCGAAAAAAATCATGATTCCTATACTTTCCTTATATCTGTATACAGATAGGAAAGTAAAAATGACAAATCGAAAAAACACGTCGGTCTATTAAGCTCAATTACTCGAAAACGGCTCGTCTGTCGAAAATTTTCAGACTTTAATTGTACATAATTTAATTTTATATAAAAATAAGTGAAAAGGAATTTTTTTCACTTTAATGTCAATTTTTTTGGCCCAGTC